GAAAAAAAAAATGTTTTATTTAAAATACATTAAAGTTAAAGATATTTTTTAAGTAATTAAAAAATTAATGTGTTAGATAAATATAAATATTTATGTATTAAAATATATAAATATATGAGAATTATGTGGTGTGTAGAATCCTCATACAGATTAAGGGACTGTTTGGGATTGCTGCGACGTTTTATAAAATTGATTATGAAGTTGTTGTAAAGAAAGTAACTTTGCTATTATGACTTCGTAAAATAACTTTCTATCACATGAATTTTTAAAAAGCTTTGTGGAAATAACAAGAAAATGATAGTCAAATGAAATTGGGACTGATGTCTAAAAAATAAAGCAGTTAGAAAATTATTCCAAATAGACCTTAAAACTAATTAGCATTTTATCAAAATTAATTAAAAATAAAAAACTAGTGAAGAAGAGTATAGCTACATACCTTATTCCAGTGATTTCGACGAGGAGATTTGGTTTAGAAACAGCTTTCTTCAATTCATAAAGCTTCAAAAACATTTGCTTTCCTTTGGAATAGCTACTTCCAAAACTTGCTCTCGAAATTACATCTGCAGAAAAGCTCTTCAAATCCTCATCAATATTTATCTCAGCTGTTCCTCCTTCCTTCTCAATTCTTTTCTCCCATGTTTCTAACAGTGGGATGGCAGAATCCACCATCAATTCAACCATTCCCTACATAAAACTCTCGCTCTCTTTTCATCAATTTATCCATACAAACATTTTATTTGTATATTTTGTACATAAAATTCTATAATGATATTTTGATATAAACTATATCAAAATGAAATTAAAAATTATTCAATTTGCTTTAATATTTGTGCTATATATATATATATGCATAACTTATATTGCCTTAATAATATGAAATTAAAAATTATAGACCTTCCTAGAAAGAACCTTCATAATATTCCAAATAAAAATTACAAAATTACCTTGACCTTATCCATGTAGAACTCTGGCGCAATAATTTTTTCAAAATGAAATTAAAAATTATTCAATTTTCTTTAATATTTGTGCTATATATATATATGCATAACTTATATTGCCTTAATAATATGAAATTAAAAATTATAGACCTTCCCTAGAAAGAACCTTCATAATATTCCAAATAAAAATTACAAAATTACCTTGACCTTATCCATGTAGAACTCTGGTGCAATAATTTTTCTTTGATGAGCCCATGACTCTCCACTAGACTTGAGAATGCCATGGCCAAACAAAGGCTCATGAGTTTTTTGTAGGTAAGTGGCCTTCCCTAAGTCAAGAGATTTGCATAGGTTCATTTCCCTCACCAAGTCAGGGTCGCTCACGTGCAACATTGGTACATTCCCCATAGTATACAAAAATATTGGACCTACATAATGTAAATTCATTATAAGTTAATAATCAATTATACTAA